AGGAGATAGTGGTATACGAGGCAATGTCGTTAATGTTGATATATCAGAATTACTGAATGATGAAGAACGTTTATTAAGAAAACCCTGAGTAACCATTTTTGATGTAACTTTATAGAAACGATCAAACGGATTATAAATTTCTGGCAAAAGATTTAAATTTTTGTAGTATATGAAATACAAATTACTAAGAACTTCCATTCTATTAGATGCAGAGAGTCTTTCAATCTGATTAAACGGACCTCGACGAACTGGATGTGTGTCTCTTTGCTCTAAACGACGAATGGCAGTTTCTGTTAAGGAAGTTGGAGCCAAACTGCTAGGTTCATGGTAAATAGATGGCTGCGCTAAAGATGGCAATCGGAATGATATAAATCTTGGTGTATTATTTTCATCAACAGCCTCAAGGTTATATATTCCAATTAATAGTGCTTCAATACTTCGACAACTTTGTTTATCAACATGGGCAATAGAATTAAGATAACTGTAAGTTAAGTGGGGTAAAAATAATAAAACAAATAAATGTAAGTCAGTTTCTTCTGTTCGATAACAATTGAAAAGAGCACCACAAACACGATCGATTAACTGTAAAAAAAAAAAAAAAAAACATATAGTCATATTAAAGTACAAATATACAACTTTTTTTCAAATGCACTGTATTATTTTTAAAAAAGTATAACCGCCAGAGTTTTTGATAAATAAAAAATTGCATTCTGAATTTATTTATAAAAACAGTATTAACTTTTTTTTTAAATTGTTAATATTGGTTAGGAATCTTAATTGATTAGTAACTATTACCTAATATTTTTATATTTGCTATTTAAATTTAATTGCTTGAATAAAAAACTAGCAGTACTACTTTCACGTGCATTTTTGATTTTTACTCTACTTAAGCCTAAAATATCTAAGTTATGTGCCTTTATTTATAAAATTATTATTATTAGTAAAAAAAAATTGAATATTTTTATTAAAAATACTACAAACATTAAAACCTTCAAAAAAAAAAAAAAGATAAAACTTATCTTCCAATATTTTTTTGTTCATGATTAATCTGGAATTTATTGTTCAGTTTTTTCTTCGTATTGGAATAACTATTAAAACTAGAAAAAATTAAATCTCTACTATACTACCATTTCTTTCATTTATTTTTTGATCCAGTTTTACTTTCCATAATTTAAAAAAATAAACCGATATAAAAATCATTCAGTTCACTCAAAATTTGAAATAAATACTTATAGCTACATTAATTAAATTAATTTACACACATGCATAGATAAAAATTATAGTTTATTTGAGAAAAGTAATGTAAATACTAATTATATTTTAATAGATACATATACCTATTTAATTAATTCCTGACTTTGCACTGTAGTATAAAAACAATTTTTAATTTCCATACTAACAATATACTTAATCATAATTATCAATTTTACTATAACTATCCATATATTCATCTAGCATACTAAATTGTCTTATTTATTTTAATATCTAAACAATTCTAAACTATAAAAATATAAACAAAGTTTTGTAAACAAGTCTTATTAACATAAATAGTAATTATAATTAAATCATTAAATTAGGGATAGGTTCATGTAATAAATTTTATAAATTAAAGGCAATTTATTCTTAATTATAATACTTAGTAAAATTAAGTTTTAATGAAATAAATAATAAATATAATACACTTATGGTATTATGAATATTGAAAAAAAATTAAAATTTAAAGTCAAGTGAATTAAACATATTAATTAATGACCATAATATAAGTTTGTATTATGTAATCTGATTTCAAGTCAATTGTACCAAAAATCTCACATAACTATTTTTATTTCACTTTTTCATTAAAAAAAAAAAAAAAATTATAAACAAGCATAACATTGCAAAAGATTTTTCATTGAATAATTAAATGTTAAAATTGTTAAATCATGAACAATCGATTCTCTTATCTTTCCATTCTGGGATAGGTGATTCAGGGCTTTCCATATTAAGTAAATCTTCAAAATATTCTTTCCATCTGTAATTTTTTTTTGCATTTGCATTTGCATTTGCACTATGCCATTGCTCTCTTTTATAGCTTGTTATAACTGGGTTAAACTTTTTTTGGCATTTAATCACTTTGAAAAATTGGCCTGTATTATTCCTTTTTTATGATCTTTTTTTCATTCTCACCAAAACTATATTAAAATAACCCCATTTTTTTTTTTGCATTCTCTGCGTTTATTATTGTTGTTAGCTTAGTTAATTGGACTCTGATTTGCTAAATGTATGCATCATTTTTATTTGCTAGAATTTGTTTACAATCATCATCAAACCACTCACTAAACTTTCTCATTAACTCACCAACAATCTTTTTTTCTACTTTAGTTATGTTTTTGCACTTGTTGCCATTTTGTTTTTACTGTGCATGTGAGTGATCTTGTTTTTTCTAATTCCTTTGTAATTGTTTCTATGTATTTTTCTTGAACACTTTCTATTTCTAACCATTCAACATCAAATTTCTTAGTCATTTTATTCTTTGTATATTCCCTTATACTTAATTTGAATTTAAATTTTGCAATAACTAGGTAATAATTGGTATTACAATTAGCAACACGGAAACTTCTTACATCATGGATACTTGACCTATTTTGTATGAGTATATGGTCTATTTGGTTCACCGTACTCACATCAGATGATTTCCAAGTATATTTATGAATATTTTTATGTGCATAAATGGTGCTGCTTATAGTCATTCCTTTTGATGTTAGTTGAGAGACGTTATTGTTGGTTTGTTTATGTGTACTCTCCTTCCTAAAGGTGGATTAATAAATTTGTTTTACCAAACCATCGGTTGTAACGCCAATATTTGAATTGTAATCACCCACTATTATTTTTATTACACATCCTTTAATCTTATTATATACTCTGTTAGGCTTCTCATAGAAATCATCCTTTTCCATTGCTTCTGCCAATTCAGTCGTATATGTATGTTTATAGGCTTAAATTATTGTGTTTATACACTCCGAACTTAAGTTAAATTAAATTATACTTTCTATGATCTTATTATGAATTGCAAATCCTGTCCCAAAAATGTGTCTATTATCTAATTCAAGATAGAATATTGTCTTGTCAGCAACCCTAACCTGAATAATGTCAGACCATCTAACTTCTTGGAGTGCTGCAATTATTATATTATACCTTGCCAATACCTCAACAAAGTTTTGACAAGCACCTATTCTGAGAAGACTGAATGAATTCAAAGTTGTAATCTTAAAAGACTTTATTCTATTCCAAGTTCCATTTGTTTGTCCTTTTTCAACTGTTGTACAAGGCATTTATATCAGTTTCTAAACAAATTTTTTTTACAATGTTAAGTTATTAATCCCATTATTAATTCCTTTATCCAAGAGAACCAGGTTATCCTTATTCATTAAGGTCAGGATAAGACTGCTGCACTACACAAAAAGATGGACGCACTACTTTTCCAACGATCAAGTGATATACTTTACATCGACTAATTAATTTATTTATGACAAAAATATCATGTAAATATGTTTTGATATTTTAAAATTTTTTTTAAATAGAACTAAATACTTGGTATGATTTGTTGTTATATAATTGAGGTATATAACAATAAATACTTGTATAATTTACAATAAGAAACCTACAAAATTATATATAAAATTCCAAATTAAAGATTATACTTCAGCCATTGGAAACCTTAATTAATAGTTATCTACTATTATAGGCACAAATATTATTTAAGATTTGGAGGATATTGGAAAATTGATCATAATATATTTTACTATGAACAATATACTATGTAGTGCAATTATTAGTTTTGGGAGAAGACTAAGTTCTTACTATCCTTCCTTAATATAGAAAATATATATTTTATAACTATGTTTTTATCAATATAAATGATGATATACTGATATTTAGAATAAATTCCGCATGAAAAATAAATATGACCATTTTGGTTATTAATAAATAAAAATAAATCATCTATTAAACTTAGTACATGCATTTATTTTATTTACCTTTATATATTTATGAGTATCATCAAACACAGCATATATTGATTCTATGAGAATTTTATTTTGTGATGTAGTTATGGCAAATGATGCCCAGTCGTCTTTTTCTAATGTGGCAAATTCAGATAACCATTCTTTTACCACGTTTTCCACCATGATCAGATCTCATTACATTCAAAACTAAATAATAAACAATATTATTAAAACTGTAAGAACCAATAAATTGAAGAAAATATAGAGAAATTGTAGAAACAGAATAAATATCATATTTTTTTATGAAATGCTCAAAATGTATAACTTACTTAGACATTCATTTTAAAATAAGTACAACTTAAATCAAATTGATACACATTAAATTCCGAAAAAATGTCAATAAGTCAAGTAGAATATATGTGAAACATTACATTATACATAGGTATAACCTTAGTTAAAACAACAAATATTGGTTAAGACTTCCGTACCATATCACGCAAATACTGTGATTTGATTATAACTGATAGCGATTATGATTTACGAATACAAAATACACATTGTTATTTCATCAAAAACAAAAATACAATTTAAAACTGGAAAGTTCATAGTTATATTAACGGAAATAAAAACTCGGTATTTATATGATATAGTAGAGATGTTGATTGATGCTATTACTCATAGTGTAGTATTAGTATACAATATATGTTCGACAAACATCGAGGTCATTATGATTGACCTCGATTATTTAATATTAGTATACGATTTTGTTTTATCATTTAAAGTATAATAATTTGTTTAAGAATTGGTTTACTTCAATTCTCAAATAAATTAAATAATAATGTAGGTACCTATAAATCTAGATTAACTAGATTAATCAGCTTGTGTTATTATACAACTGTAATATTTGATAATCCAATAGCCAATGGATCCATCCGATAGGATCATAAATTAGTATATAGAATATATATATATATATATATATATATGTATATATAGGATGTAGGTCAACCAGTGACGTATCTACGAGGGAGGATATGGGGTTCATATCCCCCCCTCAGGAGATTATTTCAATTTTTTTATTCATAACAATATTTTGATAATTATTTTATTTTTATTTATTTACCTACTTATTTATTTGTTTGTGATAAACGGGTAATAAACCTTTTGTGTGAGTAATATCAGGCTAACATTTTAAGTATTTTACAGTAAGAACTAAAATTAAAACAATAATAATGAAAATTAATTACAAAATAATAATAATTAAACAATGATAAATGATAATAGTAACAAGAAACAACACTAAATAATAACATAGTAATGGTCATTTACAACTAAGTTTAAAGGTAAATATACATTTCTATTAAAAACAATACGTGGCATAAAGAAAAAATCTACATGATCAGTAATAGAATTGGCTAGTTTTAATGCTCTAGGGAAGAAAGAAGTGGAGCTATAATTATTTTTGTAAAACGGTACATGAAATAAGTTTGAATTTCTTAATCATAATTATATAAACATTGAAATGAATGATATCTATGAAATTCAATAACATACATATAGTGTGTAATCGGTTGTTGGAAACACTCTATAACTTAACAAATATTAAAGATATTTGAATTCTATTTGTTTATGGTCCTTAACAAAGTTTATTATAACTTATTAAAGTAATTAAACAATTTTTATGCCATTTCGTTTCGCGCATGCGCATAACAACTTTTTTTTTTTAAATGGCAACCCCACTATTTTTTGGTTAGTTATTTTTACTCTTATTTTATCATGAATTTTAGTGGTAAAACCAACACTCTATGTTAAAAAAATAGCTGAGTTATGGATATTTCAGTGATTGATATTATTTTTTGACATTTTTGAATTATTCATCAATTTTATGGCTTAAATAATTAATCCTTTTAGCACCGCATGATATCTTCTAGTGATATTTTTAGTACCTACTTTTGGAAAGCATTCTCTTTCCCTACAGCAACTATTTTTTCAAAGTTTATCTCAGGTGATTAAAAAAAAAAA